TCAACRAACAAAAGAGCAAACAAGGAACCAGAGAGGAGCTGGGGCTGGGGTCTGAAGGGAAGGAGCACAAGGAGAAGTAGATCAGGAGAGGCAGACAAGGAGAACGGCTACGGCTTTGAATTGTCTTCTCAGGACCAGAGCTTCATGAGCCGGGGGCGGGGGGAGCATCGGGAGAACGAAAGGTGAAGTGATTGCTGATTGTCATAGCTAGGAGGGGACAACACTGAGCTTCAATCCCAGGGCTGTTGGCCACAGTGCCAAAAACTAGAGTGAGCCATGTAGCACTCACGGAGGAGAAGAATTTAAGAGGTGGTCACAGCGTCGGGGGTGCAGCTCAGTACACACATGCTTAGCATGAGTGAGGCCCAGCTCCCACCCCCAGCACCACCAAAAATAATAAAAATTAAAATTAAAAAAGAGGGTGCCATCCAAAAAAAAAAAAAAACCCTCACTAGCCCAGAGAAATAATATTGTAATGTAACTTTTTTTTTTAAATCAAATAACAAGCTGACAGCCTCAGCAATTTAGCAGTGCCCTAAGCAACTAATGAGACTCTGTCTCAAATAAAAAGTAGAAAGGGCTTGGGATTTGGCTCAGTGGTTCAGCACCCCTGGGTTCAATCCTCGGAACCAAAAACAAAAGCAAATAACAAGCCAGGCATAGTTTCGCACACCTGTAATCCCAGACTGAGAGAGAAGGATTGCAAATTTGAGGCCAGCCTCAGCAATTTAGTAAGACCTTCAGAAAATTAGGGAGACCCTATCCCAAAAKAAAAACTAAAAAAAGGACTGGGAATGTAGCTCCATGATAAAGTGTCCATGGGTTCAATCCTTGTATCAAAAAATAAAAATCAAATGACAAACTACAGCCCACAGGCTAGTCATCTGTTTTGGAAAATAAAGTTCCACCAGAAACAGGGCCAGGACTAGGGTGAGATGAGTGAAACAGGAATACACAAGTGTGGGGCTGGATCTTGTTTTTGATCAACCATCAACAATTTGTTCATCATGAATTCTTGCATTGATTTCTTTCTTTATTTTAAATTTTCTTAGAACTGGGAGCTGAACCGAGGGATACTTTACTACTGACATATTCCTTTCTTTTTCTTTTTTTTCTTTTTTTTTTTTTTTTTTTTTTKGTACTAGGGATTGAACTCAGGGTCCACTGAGCCACATCCCAGCCCTATTTTGTATTTTATTTAGAGACAGGGTCTCACTGAGTTGCTTAGCGCCTTGCTTTTGCTGAGGCTGGCTTTGAACGCACGATCCTCCTACCTCAGCCTCCCAAACTGCTGGGATTACAGGCATGTGCCATCATGCCTGGCTTCTATTTTTATTTTGAGACAAAGTCTCACTAAATTGCTGAGGGTCTCACTAATATTGCTGAGGCTGCCCTTGAATTTGTGATCCTCCTGCCTTAAGCTCCCAAGTTGCTGGGATCCCAGCGACTGTGTCACCACACCCAGCTGATTTCTTTTTCTTTTCTGTTTTTTAATATTGCATTAAAATATTGATTTCTTTATTATTGAGATCAGGACACCCCTTAAATTTTGTACCTGAAGTGAGTGCCTGACTCACCTTGCCCCAGGCCTAGACCTGTGGTTGTGTAAGAAACCAAGCTTTTAAAAAAAAGAAAAGAAAAAAAGCAGTCAAGCTTTCAAGGCTGCCCCATGCTCAGGCAAAGGCCCCTGTGGCAGGACCACACCACCTCGCGGGACAGTGAGCTCCTCTGGTCTGGCTCAGCCTTTGTAGGTCTTTGTTTGGGGCCCAAAGTTGCTGCTCCAAGGCACCTGGAGGATGTGGCATTGGGGTCCACATTCAGTTTAGAAGCCAGGAGGGTTTGGGCTAGATGATGCCCTCTACCCTCTTTCTCCAGGACCTGATCAGTTGCTCATTTTGTGCAGCAGACACTAAATAGCCCTGAGTTCAGAAAATCAAAGGGTCAAGAGTTGTGCAGGGCAAATTCTCAAGGGTATTGTCTACCAGCAGCCCCACCAGGGGAGCCCTTGCCTGATCCCAGCCTCTAGCCCAGTGCCTGAATTAGTTGAAGAAAGAGTGCCACAAAATTCAATAATCAAGCTAAATCCTATTTTAATGAGTTGTGTTTTTTTGTTTTGTTTTGTTTTGTTTTTAATTCAGATTGCCAAAGTATAGCCTCCAAGCCTCTCTTGTCAAATGAAGTTTCACTGGAATTGCTTGGGTTCAAATCCTGGTTCCTACCTTACTTGGGTGATGGTTTGAAAATTCTCTCACTTTTCTCAGCCTCAACTTGCTCATCTGTAAAATGGACATGAGAGCAATGTCTAGGCCGTAGATTTCTATCAAGATTAAATGAGATAACATAAGAGCTAAGAGACTGGCTCTCCTGGAGTACTACACAACAGCAATGAGTATTATTATTATTTTTATTACTATTGTTGTTGTTGTTATTATTATTGGCTATTGCTATAGTAGCAGAGTTTTCATGTTTATTTTGTGATGCTGGCAATCAAATCAGGCATGCTAGGCAAGTGCTCCACCAGTAAGTTACATCCCCAGCCTTTTTATTTTTATTCTGTTTTGAGACAACACTACTCTAAATTGCCTAGGTTACCCTCAAACTTGTGATCCTCCTGCCTCAGCCTCCCAAGTAGCTGGAGTTACAGAGGTGTGCAACCAATCCAGGCTAGTATCCGAGATTTTTTAATTTCAGAAATGGTCCTCAGAGAGCTTACCGTGTGCCAGGGGCTCTTCTAAGCACTTCACATCTACTAACTCAGTTAATCCAACAATTCCTTGGGATGTGAGCTAATGGTATTACCTATTATCCCCGTGTTTCAGCTGAGGAAACTGAGGCATCTAGAAGGTACATCATTAGCAATAATCACATACTCAGTAAGTGGCAGAGCCTAGATTCAAATCCAAACAGTCAGGCTCCAGAATCCAGGTTCTTTTACTGCGATGCTTCACAGGCAAACTATCCCATACACACAAGTGTGTGCCAATGGCCATGGTCCTTGTCCACGCTGCCACAAGTGTCTCTCCCCACATTACGAGGTGCTCTCACATGCTGACAGATCAGCACAAGTCACAGAGATGGCCACACACAGTCCAGGTCACACAGGATCAGGCACATTGTACCAAGGCCATATGTCACAGACACAACACATTAGTCTCTCTGTCACATACCAGGTGACCAAGGAATACCAAGGTTTGGTGGACCCTGGCCCAACATCTCTCCCTTGGAATTTTCCCAGCAGTACAACTCCTGAAGGCCACAGCTATGGATTGAGGAGACCCCATGTCTTTAATGAACGCAGGGGTGTGAGGCCCGGGACAGGAAAGAACCCACCAAATCACGTAGCAGCGAGGCCATGTCTGAGCTGGACCCTCATCTTCAATCTGGCTTTGCCTTGACTGTGGGGCTCCTGCCTGTTCAGGGGGTTGCTATCCCAGCCTTYTTCACGCCCCAGCCTTAGTGCCTGGGCTAGACTCCAGATCCCAGAAAAGTTTGGGGGATCTTCCCGTTCCCCTTGCTGCCCCCAACTCAGCTGGGGCCCAGGAACAGAGCTAGGAGCAGTGGGGCGGCCTCCCACGTCCCATCTGGGGCCAGACCCCCGCTGAGCTAGTAGCTGAGGCCCTTGTCTCTGTTCCTGCTTCAGACCTCATACCACGGAGCAGAGGGGCCAGCACAACACGCCCTGCTCACAGAGGGTCCCATCCAGCCCCCAACACTCCCTGTTCTTCAGCCAACACAGAAAAATGTGCAAACATGAAGGCATGCGCACACACACACACCACACACACAC